AAGTTTTCTTTTTTTTAGGAAGCGATTATTACACCTTACAAGTTTTCTTTTTTTTAAGAAGCGAAACTTACACCTTTCAAGTTTTCTTTTTTTTAGGAAGCGATTATTACACCTTACAAGTTTTCTTTTTTTTAAGAAGCGAAACTTACACCTTTCAAGTTTTCTTTTTTTTAGGAAGCGAAACTTACACCTTACAAGTTTTCTTTTTGATTCGGCCTTTCTTCTTCAATTAATAGTTTCAAATACGACTGAGTTACCTCAAACACACACTTATTACACGGTTTTTAGATGTCCAAACTTTTACCTTTCCTTTGAACTCGTTGTCTGTAAAATCACATAAAGTTGGAGTGTGAGAACTTCTTACTAAGTGGTACATGGTCATTTTAAACAAAAAAATCATTATGAAAGTAAAAAGAAAGAAAAAAGCTCGAGTTTCAAAGAATGCTGTCGTCATTATTAGGAGCTGGAAAAAAAATATTTTTTTTTCTCCTCGTTTTTTTTATTCTTAATCCACGATGTTGGTTCACTACAGAGCGCCCCCCCCCCCCGTCAGAAGCTCAGTTGTAAGTCTGAAGGTTTAGAACGCTAGAAACCGAGTTTCAATACCTTTGGTGAGCCGATTGCCTATTCTACAGCTTGCGCTTAACAACAAGTACATAAATACCTTAGATAGAGCGGCAAAAAAAAATACGTTATATATATTATATATATATATATACATTTTGTTCCGTTTCGTTTAATTGGGTGATATTATTATTATTATCCATTTTAATATAAATAACAAATAGGCGTGGTGAATAATAAACAAATAACGTGACTTTATACTAAATACATATCCAGGTTCTTTTGAAATTAGCTATGTATAGTTTGACGAGGGCTAAGTTTATGACTGTGACAAGCCATCAGAACCATAACGCGTTTTATTCAACACGTAGCCAAAATAGCCAATCAAATATTCCTTTTCAATCACATGATGTGCAAGTTGGATCATCTTGTTATGGCCCCGATGACTTGCCATGTAAGCCTAATTAGTATTTTACTGTGATTGGATTATTCTCACTGTTCATTTCGTCGAAGGTAGTTTCCAGCTTTTAGGTGAAGTTTTTTGTCCCCCTTTACCTGAGTTATATATAAAAAAACTTAAAGTCCACACTCACAAACAGGCTAGAGAACAGACCTGCAGTGTTAAAAGTGTTATGTAACACGCACTAATAAAGTGGTTCCTTATCATGTGGAGAGGCTTGACACGTATTGGTAGTGTAAAAGAGGCTTACGGCTAATAGGAGCGATAGATATCCCGAGGAAACCTTAAGACCTTTCATTATTGTAGATATAAAATGTGTAGGGCATGGCGTTATCTGATGGTTAGTGTGTCGGGCTACGTATCAGAAGGCCCAAGGTACGAGTCGCGATGCTATTGACTGACTACCTCTTCCCATTTGTCAGCAGTTCAGAATTAGAGGACATTTGAACCTGAACCATTGCGATCTCTGACCTCGCCACTTAGCCCATGTAGCGGCGGGTGTTATTGACTGACTGCCTTCCCGTTTCTTAGCAGTTCAAAATTAGGGACATCGGTACTTGAACCTTTTCGATCTATGACCTGCCCATGAGTCGCCCAAGGTACTGTTTGGGACAATTTCTAAGCCTTGTTGTACCATCAGCTGAAGTAGTATATATGTTTGAAAAGTTAATTTAAATATGGCGGAAAGAGGATTTTATTTATTCATCGGCTGCTACTATAACTTTTATTAAGATTTTCTTTCTTTCTCGTTTATTGTTTTATTCTCGCGATACTTATTTCCTGTTTGCCCCCCCCCCCCAATTATACGTGAACAAAATATAGTTAGGTAATCTTTTGATCAATCTGTAACTATGTTTGGGCTTTGTTTAAGGCTTGGAACTAAAGGTAACTAACACAGAGAGATTCACGTACATGAGTTTGTAATGAAATTGATAATAATCAATAGTTTTTAAAAACTTCTAAATGTCATTGTATGAGTTACGTTGTTCAATTAACTTCAGATCTGCGTGTTTCGTGACACGCAACCCTCGTGTTTTCGGACTGTACAAATTCAGGGTTCGTGCGCATACAAGTCAGAAAATCTGATTTTGTGCGATCGTGTTTAAAATGGTGCGGAGTCATCCTGTTGGTAGTAGTAATACGTTACGTACGTTGGAAGTTCTGACGCCTGCGCACTGAGTACACGTTTTGTTGGTTTACGAAACACGTTCATGCATATGTGCATCTGTTATCGTCGTCATGGCAACGAATATCGGCCTCGTGCCATCGATTATGAAACGATTTTACATCATTTAGTACGTTCATTCCAGCAACCACAAAGCTTTTAAAACCTACGACATGTGGGAGTTCACAATGATTACATTGACTGCACATGCTAAAAAACTGTGGGGTTCTTCCATGTGGTATATTTGTTTGTCACTCGTGCTCGTTTGAGCTCCCCTTGTTTTAAATTTGTGCTTTATTATTTGTTATGTATTTTATCATGTTTATGTGTGTGTGTGTGTGTGAATAACATTTATACTTTCAGACACTGCCCGAATTTTGAATTCGATGATTCATGGTTCGCGTCCGTCGGTCAGACAAGAGTAACTTGTACTTTAAGGGTTGGCAGTGGTTGCTTTTGCCCAACTACACGGTTACAGACGTATAGCCGTTTCTAACTTATCAGATTCAAGTTAGAAACGGCTATGCGCAGATTAGTCTGTCAGATCACAGTTAGAGACGCAGATACCCCTCGTGTGAGTAGCCTTGTGCGAAAGTTCAACGTGCAGGAAGCTTCTAGACATAACAGAACATTTAAACATTGTCAGTGAGATGTCTTATTGTTGATATCTTCAGATCGGTAAATGTTACTACATTAGCAGTAATAAACTTAACCTTTCTTATCCCATGAAGTAAAAGTTGAAGCTCCTTTTATATACATCCATAAGGAACTTCAAGTAAATGGCTTAATGAAAATTAGCTTTCATTATTTAAGTAAGCAGATATGTGTAAAAACAGATGGTGTTGCTGCCATGATATAAAAAAAGAAATGACATTAATTCGTTTGTTTGAATTTCGCGCAAAGCTACACGAGGGCTATCTGCGCTAGCCGTTCCTAATTTAGCAGTGTAAGACTAGAGGGAAGGCGGCTAGTCGTCACCACCCACCGCCAACTCTTGGGCTACTCTTTTATCAACGAATAGTGGGATTGACCGTCACATTATAACGCCCCCACGGCTGAAAGGGCGAGCATGTTTGGTGTGACGGGGATTCGAACCCGCGACCCTCAGATTGCGAGTCGAGCGCCCTAACCACCTGGCCATGCCGTGCCCATTAATTAT